ATATGTGGGGAACCCCCAAGGTAAGCTAAATGTTAAGCTTACTGCCTAAACAAGATCGCCAAAAAAGCTTTCTTTGCAACAAATGAAACTAATCAAAACGTGTGCAAATTAAGCAATAAAAATAATACAAACAAAATTGTATGTAATGTAAGGAACAAAACACCGTGGCACCGTAGACGAATAAAAACGTTTTTATTGCTCAAATGGTTAAGAACTTCCAGGAATCACTTACTTGGATCGATTACTGAATGACTAAGCAGAAAGTCTAAGAGCTAAGACTACACCGTGAGATTCGACGAATAAAAGACCCGCGAAAACCATACAGCTCTTCCATTATAAGAGCTGCGAGTTCGGTGATCGAACAGGATCGAACTACAGCTCATTAATTTTGGCAGCACGTCTGTTTCGCAATCCGGAACTACCAATAGAACGGATAGTTCAAATTCCAAAGGGGCAGAAAAAATGGAATGGTGTAAACCTGATTAGATCAAAATTTACAAACAATAATAAACATTAAATTTAAATATAGCTACTACGAAATACCTAAACAGAGACATCCATTACCTAAAACTTGAATACCAGGATACTGTCAAAGTCAAGCACAAAATTCTATTTCTCTGCTATAACAAACAATAGGAAAATTAACATAATCACTGCTATCAGCTATATACGGTATAAATAGTCATCACGTTTTCAGTCCTTCAACTTCTGAGGATTTGGAGGTGAAACGATGTGTTGCACATGTATCGTAAGTGCATCCAAAGTGCATTGAGTCCCGTCCAACTTGAGGACAATTTTCACAATGTGAAATGTATGATAGCCTTGCCTGCTACTCCTGCTACCGTTACTACTGCTGCAAAGAATAATTGCATCAATCAATCACGTATAAATGCAATGCACATCCGCATTCACAAAACGCATAGATTTTATGAGCAACTTTTGTGATGAAAAAATGATTCTTTAATGCGGCACTGTAGATTTACGAGTTCACTTTCTTAACAGTACTTTTCTGCATAAAAATCACATTAAAATAAATTAACGTATGAGTTTAAACTATTCGTCGAAGCAACGCAGGATTGTTCAATAGTTGGCCGTTGAAACAGGTTACAGTGTTCGCCAATAATCGGGTTACGGTTAGTCAGTTGATAAACAGGGCTTAGAGAGCGCCTCTTTGACTTTCGGTTTTCGAAGTCTGTTTCCCAGCATACCCTCGTCATAACTCATCAATCCATTTTATGACCAGTTGAAGCTGCATGCTGCGTAATCGCCGAATTGTATTCACATTCATCTTGGATGGCATTCGTGCCTTTCCCCAATTTACTACCAGTTCTTTGTCGAAGCTGCCTGTCTTGCTGCCCCCTTTTTCTGCCATCCGCATTTTTTCACCTGATCAGAATACTTATTCGTGTTCTTCGAAAATACGTAACTACGGCAAACCGTCTGTGCAGTTGACTGAAATCTGAACACCACTTTTATCCTCGCCTGCAAGCGCTTCCCCGTAAGTTTACGCTGAAATTGAACATATGTGGCCAGGATATAGAAAGAACAATCCTTCTCCTTCAATAAGGAATGAACGTTACAACATATATATAAAACCCTATATTTGGGAGCGACTCTGGAGGTGTACATACCTGCAAATGCATGATTAGATGAATAAAACTATGAAACTATAAACTTTTAGATGAATAAAATTGAAGTCACATACGACCCTCTCTAAAGCTTGGCGAAATCGCTAAGAAGTACAAAATCGAAAAAGGCAACCGACTGGCGAATGCAATATCACCGAAGTAATTCACAACAGCGCTAGGAGAGATTTTTGAGGCACTCCCATGAAATGTTCCGGGGCTGAACGAAAAATGACATTATTTAAACCACCTACGGTTTGTCGACGATACTCTGATCCTCTCAAGTTCATCAACAAAGAATGCAAGAGCTGAACGACGATAGCGCCAATGAAGGATCGAAAATAAACCTGAGGAAAATTCGAGCCACGATTAACAAATACGTGACCCCGCCCTATCAACTTAAGGACTTAGGCTTGAAGAAGGGCAAATCGACGTCTACTAAGAACCGACTCTGCAAAATTAGCGGAAGAGTAAAAAGGGCATGGAGCACATCTGGGAAACTGAAATCAATCTTATCCAGGGAAATGTCCTACTCCTTGAAACGGAAAGTATTTGATTACTGCCTGCTCCCAGTGCTAACCTATGGATACGAGCCGTTGTCCCTAACTCTGAAAGCTGTTGGGAATAACCAGAGAAGATCGGAAGACGAATGAATAAATAATGGCAAAGACAAAAGTCACGAAGGGTTCAAAGTGGCAATGGACCAGACACGATCCAAAATGAACCAAGGAAAGCTCAGAACCAAAGAGAAATTACACTGACTTCCAAGAGAGGGCAAATGGTCCGTAAAAACACCTTCAGATCGACGAAAAGTGAGCAGATGTCCATTGGATGGACAAAAGTAGCAAAAGACAAATTAAGCAGAAAACACAAATTAGTGGCCAAGTCTTGGAGACCATCAACTAGCACTGGGTCGAAAAAGTCTAACGATGATTATGACGAACCTTTCTAAAGTCAACTTTGTACGTTCGTTATAAATCATTAGCTACTCAACGTAAAATCGAAAATAATTTCGCATCGAACGGATTTCAGAATTTAAAAACGGGCCATTCACTATCATGATATGCTATTGATGTCGGATTACGCATTATATGGGGGAACGGAGATGCAATTTCAGGAGACATTTTTAATTATTTTGATTCACGCCGACTGAACAGGGTCAACTCGACGGGTAGATTGCAGGACCCTACAATGAAAGTTTTTCCGTATAAATGAGCAATCTCTTGCTGTCGTGGATGTCAGATTGCAGATTCGCAGACGAGGGTACAAAACGTTGCTCCAATGTACAACGGTAATAGTAAGCGAGTGCTCTGCTCCTTCGACAGACATTAGCGTAATAACTATTGCATTTTCAAAAACGAACAAATATCGCATCGCTCGCCTACCTTAACACCCTGCTCGCGCAACACGTCCAAAGCGCCTTTCAGCGCGAATGACTCCGACTCGAGTACCTCCACCTCCAACTTGACCGTGTCTTCGTTGTACGGTCCAATCATGCAGTACTGGTCGCCAAGTTCTTCCGTGGTCATCGCCGCCTTCGTACGAAGTACGGTGTAGATGCCACCAACTGAAAAGAAAAGGGACAGCAACGTAAACGCCTGCAGATCAATAACTAAGAAGATAATATGGGCACCTGTGCCCGCTCTATTACCTTTGTTGGCAACTTCCCAGGCAGTTTCGAACACGAAGCGATTCTCACGCCTCGCCGTCTCTCCGCGGTCGAGGATCGAGTCCAAATCGTCATCGGATATTTCCAGTGCCTGGAGCCGCTTGTGCATTTTCGAAATGGACATCATGTCAACGGACAATCCCCAATGGTCAACGCATCGTTCGGTCAATAACAGAAAAAAACAGAAAAAATGAGCGTCGCTATCACCTATAAATGAATACACTGAATCAACGGATTAAGACAACATACCACGGTAATCACGGTTCTATTTTAATACAGCGACCGTATAGGAATCATGTGACATAACAAAGCAGTTCAGAAACGATCCTTCCGTAGGTCCAACAACCGAACAGAATCAACACTGATCAATACCAATATGTATTTTCAACGTATTTGAAGGAGTGCCATAACTGACCATACTTCGACTAGCCACTGACAGTTATAACGGATGTTTAGTTTGCACAAAAGTTACAGATCCCGTAGTGTCGTTTGAACTAGCCAGCGTTAACATTCAATAGGTCTTCAGTAAAGATAGGTGAGGGACTCTTATAAGCCTTATAGACCAAGATTTCGACTAGTCATCTTCACAGTTGAAGACCTGCTCAACAATGAAGGCCATACCACAACGAATTTCAAATACGCTGAAAAGGAGGCCGCTATGACCCTTAACGAGTTGGTAAGGGAGATTATTAAAGAATAGTACAAATGATCATGCTCTGATTAACCGGTTTCAGCCATCGGATGATCAGTAATGAAGAGTAAATCACTCATGCTTTTCTATTTTACTAAGGAGATGCGAAAACGACAACGTTCTCATATTACAATATATACATACCATGCACCATAAACATGCCGTATGTAATATATAGCGTATGTGTACAAGGTTTTGATGTGTCCAGTCACAAACATATATTACAGTAGTATAACATAATGCGCATAAAGTGCAGCGCAGCATAGCATACATAATATAAATATACGGATAGACATAAAGATATGTAAAAGAATAGTTCACTTTAGCCATGTCGTCTTAAGTAGCATATAACAAACTGTGTATGCACAACTGCGGTGCATCGATCTATATTTATTACAGCAGGGTATAGCGGTAGGGTTGTTGTTGTTGTTGTTTTTGTTATCGTCATCTGAGGTATCAGGGTCAGAGATCGAGCACAAGGATTAATCATGTCTGACTTATGCTTTAACCTGTCAGAATGATTTGGGCGACTATTGTTGCTGCGGTAAAAGTCACGCTCCTCATCACAAGTAAGTCTGACTCTAGCAGCTGTTCGACGGCGCGATGCTGGAGTCCGTCTGACTGGCGTGCTGCCAATTTCTGTTTCCTAGAAGAGAATAATTTTGAACAAGTCTCCATTCTCTCTCCGGGTGGTTCTGTAAAACTACGAGAAGCATCGGGCCTGATTTCTTCAAACAGCACTCTTAAGTCGGTCATCCTCAAGACGGAACCATAAAACCTTCAGAATTTTCGGCAGACAGCGCAGCTGAAAAGTGTCCAACAATTTATCGTTGTGCTTTCAAAGGCTGCAGGATTCGAAGTTGCCCATCAGGCCTAAGAAGACGATGGCGTTTAGTACGGTGATCGTTGTTGCTCTCCGATCCAGAGAGATCAATCCTAAGACCATACTTTAAACTGAAAAACCACTACTACTACCATACTGAAAACACTGATTAAAATTTATGGAGTCTTCGCAACCAGAAACGATTCACATCTTGCGCTGATTGATTAATTAATTAACCTAGCTAGTCAGCTATCAGGTCGCTTAAGGCTAACTGCTGCCTTAGGAGACGCTAAGATCAGATAGCACGGCCGCGCCTGTCGTTGGATCATCAACATTTTCATAACAGCCGCATTGGCTGTGTTTATGCAGTTTTGAAAAAAAAAACTACCGTCCTAAGGCAGGACGAAGCTCATCTAAACAGTATCCGCAAAATGCCACCGTACCACTGAGTGACGAACGACCACTGGTTTGAGAAAGCTATCAGATGAACTTAGAGACCGGTGACTCGCTTACTTTCATAAAACGACCTTAAAAGAGAACCGATGTGTTTTCAAGTTTCCGCACGAGGAAACACGTCGTTCAGGTAGACCTGCTTGTGAACGAGGAATGCAGCGCTTGCCAGAGAAATGACTTCATCTAATATGAATCTGAAGTACAATTTCTAACGGTCACAAATCAAATCTGAGTTACTCTGATGTTGAACCTCTGTCAACCTCAGAACAGCTGCCCTACGTTCTGCTACGATCGCATCAGAACGTCGATCTGCCTCCATCAACGACTTGCTAGCCATTTTTTCAACTGATTGCAATGAAGCAACGACGACAGAGTTGGCTGCTCAACACAATTTATGGCTGATTGAAATTTTTTTCTTTCGCATTTAAAACAGACTTTTCCTCACAGAGCTGTCTTTGCTTGTATTTGTTTTTCAATGCACAACGAAAATATTAGTGCATAAGATACCTGATTGATACACTACATTTTGATCCCATGTTTGAGATATCGTTTCAATCAGGAGAAATTAAAAACGTCGACTAATGTTCACAAAGTAACATAAATCTGAAGGACTATTTCAAGCAATCCGTATATCATTAATTCGGGTAGTTGAATTATGAAGGTGCCTAAGATGACAATGACAACAATAACAACACCGATGGTTTGAAAAACAGATTTGTTTTCTTAAACAACATTCATCCACATAGCTCCACTGCTGCAGATAAGCTGAACCTTGGGTATCTGAATAAGCACAAGTTTAAAATCGAACTATGCGTCCAAAAGGGAGAAGCAGAATCGCAGCCCTAGAAGACATTCCAAGACATTCAGTTGAAAAACTCAGCGATTGCAAATAAGTTGAGATCACTTAATACCTCAGTGATACTGGAATATCTCCAAAGACGAATCCAATATATCTGAAACAACGTCAGTATCAAAGTAGGACTGAAAATAAACCGGAAGGACACTCAGGTCCTGTTTAAAAAATACATGATCCCACCGCCTGTCGACGTTAATGAACTTAATCTTAACGACCTGAAAAATTACGTCAATCTGGTATATCTGAGAAAGCATCTTTCACCAGCTGCAAACTGGCAATACTACATCAACATACGAATAAAAATGGGATGGAGCACTCTTGGAAGACTGAAAATATTCTTGAAAATTCCGCAAACAACTCTTGTGTTTGAAACTGAAAGTATTATTCCAGTGTGTGCTGCGAGCGTTAAACCATCGGTGGGAAACATAGACCCTAAATATAAAAGTTATTCATAACCTGCAGAATATGCAACGCAGAACGGAAATAATGTTACTGTTGAGTGAAGAAGCTCGGAGAAATGGGCGGGGAACATTGCTAGAAGAATCGACCATCAGTTGCTCAAAGATACACTAGATCATATACCAAAAGAAATTAAACGGTCACTAGGAAGATGTTGAGACTGACAGTAGGAAAAACTAAAGAACTCGGTTGGATGAAGATGGATACAAGTTACAGCATGTAGAGGTATGCGGCAAAATGTTAGAGACACGTGAAAACTACAAACTCTGCAGCATGATATGCGTTTCTACTCGTCCACACTTCTTAGCATCCAAGACAGGAGAAGTGGCATGGACTTGAGGTGAACCTCAGTGTGCGCTGGAATAGCACTGACTTCTTGAGCGCGAACAGACACCTGGCTTTATAATAGATGTTTCAATGAACGGCTGTTATTCGGCTCAGCTCAGCAATGAGTTATCAACTCACTACACTGCATAGACACCATGGATGGCACCAGACACTACGTGGTCCATGATTTCTCCAGCGTCGATCTAACTGTCATGAGAAATAAGCACGACAGCTAGACACAAAATAGGAAAGTCCTTTCGTTGCACAGCAGTAAAAGGCTCTACGCAAAATTAGGTAATTATTTGTAGCAAGTGTCAAAAGTCAAAGATATGAACAATCAAACTACAACGTCCCATTGGAAAATTTCAACTACCTCATGAGGTAGAAAGACCCTTGTGCCTTAATGCGAACACGGAATTCACCAGATGAAACCAGTCTGTTCAGTCGTATAAGCGAACCGTCTCTACTCGACAGTGTAAACGCTTGGTATTATTTCTTTCTCGAGAGTTGTTTTTTGTTCAGTTGCTGAGAGGACAGGATATTTCTTGATGTGGTGCCTTTCATAAAATAAGGCATTTCAAGGCTCTTGCTACTGTATTTCTTTAAACCGCTGAGTTCGACCTACTGCTCAATTTTCTTGATCATACCTTGCAACTCTGAGACATCTGCTAAATTGCCTGTGACAGCTGAAATCAGTACCATATCATTAACATACCAGCAGAAAGGAAGGACTGACTACTATTCATGTCATTGAAAGCATAGCACAAATGCGAAATATCGCATTAATAAAGTTACTGAAGTCGAATACTGGCAATTCTGCTATTTAAGGCTTATTACCTGAAAGATGACATCAAAAACAACTTAAAAATTCAATTTGTAAAAACATTTTGTAGAGCTTACTTTTTATTAGTCTTGTCACTGATCATGCGTCCAATGGACTGAAGTAACATAATCAGCAACAATTTCAGATATCCTGAACTTGGTGCCATGTATTAAACGCTTAATTTACCTTCAGAATAAAAACAACAACGTTAAAAACAGAGAAGGCCTCTTCAACCAGGTTAGACATAAAAAACACCAAGAATCTCTACAGTAAACGCAAGACAGAACTTCAACAGAAATAATATTACCCATAGCAAACAGATTTCTTATCCGAGGTTTGTTGGTTAGACAAAAAATGTTTTAACCTAGACAGACAGCGGTGTCACTGCGATGTGCAAACATTTTGTACTATTTGACGATAGCGACGATTACAACGCCTCTGAGGGGTTAATAATTCTTGACACTGGTTATCATGATAGACAACACCGAGTGGCACATCATTATCACAGTTATAGTCAGAATCGCCATAATGTTGCTCATTGGCGGCAATGGGGTGGTCTTTACCAGAATTCGCATAACAGACCATATTCTCGTTTGACACGGACGAGTGAAATGCTGGGCAAGATGCAGTTCTCATCCGCGGATCGACGACCCCAGGCATTCATTCTCGGACTCGACAGCTACAGCCATGTTTTT